AACAAGCTTAGCAAAGCACAGGGACCGCGGTTCAATCCCCCAGCACCACATGCCAGCCAGCCCCGCCCCCTGGTGGGCTGAGCTGAGCTGGCCACACACACACACACACACACACACACACACACACACACACACACACACAAATAAAATTTTTTTTAAAAAAAGATGAATAACTATTCTAACAGATTCCTGCTGTGAAACCAGAGGTCCTTGTCTGTGTACTAGTAAACCATTCTTACCCAAGTCTGATTCTTCAAGTAGAGTGGAGGCTGACCCAATAGAAGTTCTGAAAGATCTAAACATGATAGTTACCTTCCCGGCGGACTGATAACCTTCTAACTTCCTTTCCTTTGGATCACTTGTTAAATTCTTTTTCAAAATAGATGTTCTCTTTTCTTTCTTAGACACAGTAAGATGACAATAGTTTCCCACTTGTATTTCTAGCCCTTCATTCCTGACTATAAAAGTAAGGAATAAAAATCTTATAAATTTATATTCCTAGGGCTGAAATAGCATAGTTATTTTTTAAAAAGAAATATAAAACGAAAGGGTCAATGACCTCCAGTACTCTGACAAGAAATAATGACACTGGTGACAGGGAACAGAGATTAAGTAGAGGGATCTTACAGTTTCTTCTGTTGTTACAGCAGTGAAGCCAGAACAGTCTCCACTGCCAGAACTCTCCTCTAAAAAGCTCAACTAGTACACCAAGAGGCCAGGAATTACTTTAATTTTTTTTTTTATAAAAAGTTTAAATGGCAACACAACCATAAAGTTGGTACATCACAGAAACAAAGATCTTTGCAGGCAACACTGATTGGAAATAGCAAAACACTTGGTTGGTGAAAAAATGAGACTAAATTATATACAATAGTAGCTAACGGTGATATTGAAAAACAGTCTTATTTACCGTGACTCAAGATTTACCTTGCTGTTATCTATTGCTTATTTATTCAGCATTGTAAATAATACTTATATAGACATAGATGTGTAAAAATGAAATGTTGTGAAAAAAATACAATTTTTCAATTTCATATGAAACTCAAAGTATAAGTTCTGTCCAATATGGAATGTACCTACATTTGTTTATATTAGGGCTCTAAAATCCATTTAAAAATTGTTTTTAGAAAAAGTAACAACTGACCCACCGTGCAAGTTTGTTATATGTCTTGCTTGCTCAAAATGAGCATTTTTGGTGAAGTCTGGCTTGCTTGCCCATAGTCTCCTAGGATTCCTTAGAGGTTGTACTGGCCCAACTGTGGAGAGAACCCCCATGAAGAATCTGATGGCAGCATCTGAATGAGGAAGGATCTGAGTAACGGAAGCGAGAGAGGGAGGAAGAACCCAAATCCTCATGAAGGATGACATTCAGTTGTTAAATTTTAAGGGGTATCCAATGGCTTTTTCCAGGCACTCAACTAAAGAGCCAGCGGAAAGAAAATCCCTCTCTACTTCTACAAATTTGATATAGATGGATTTGGGGGAAACTCCAGGATCCACAATACAGTTCTGAGACAAGAACCCATTAATACCAACCCAATCTTTGCTGAAGGTTTTGGTATTTGCTTGGAAATGTAAAAACAAGCACTGCTGCAGAGTCCTGACCTCAGCAATTCCGAGGTAGCAATAGATAATTCGGGCGGGTTCCATTTCCACCTGCAATGAGGTTTGTGCTGACAGGGTCTCCAGGTCAACCCTGCCTTCTTTGCCTGGGTCCACAGAATGTCGCTCCATATGGGGTGAGACGGGCCTCTCAATACATTCTTCATAGCCAATGGCATAAAGGCCTGGGCTTTTCGGAATGCCTCCTGGCAATAAATACTGAACAACATTCCCACCAGTTGGCTTGGAATGGGCAATGGGTATCCAATCAATTTCCATGTGCAACTCCAGGCACCTTGCTTCACTAATGGTGATCTCCAAAAACTTATAGTAAACATTTTTCCAATTCATTTTTTGCACTCGAGTCATAATGATCCGACCTTCAGGCTTCTCAGAGTTGAAGTACTCCCGCAGTCGTTTGCCCAGGGGCACCTGCGAGCTGATCTCAGCATAATGGTAGCGGATATCCTCTTTCCAGCGGGTATTATAACCAATTCCAAAAATGGCCAGTTTATTAGAAAGATGGAGTCTTGAAAAATCTGTCCAGCTCTGAAATAGCTCCCATTTCAACTGTACTGACTCCAAAATCTGTACAATATTCTGCATGATGTCTCGCTTCCTAAAAAAAAAAATAAACATCAAATTCCTCAGTTATCTAGAAAATCACTGTCTAAGAGAACTTTCTATGATGTTACAAATTTTCTAAATCTGTACTGTTCAATATGGCAGACACTAGAATTTAAACTATGGGTAATGTCACTGAGCTATTAAATGTCTAATTATATTTAATCTAAAACCACATTTATTTATTTATTTATGGAACCGGGGATTGAACTCAGGCCCTCGTGCTTGCCAGGGAAGCACTTATTCCACTGAGCCATCTCCCCAGCCCCTGAAACCACATTTAAATAACACATGTAACTAATAGATTCTATTATACTCACTGTATTGCAAATATAAACAATACTCCCATGAAGTTTCCAGGAACTATTAATAAAGCTATTATTTCTATAGTCTTGCTATAACAAATTTAACAGATATTAATACATGAGACTCTAACATTTCAGGTTTGTTTTTTCTTTCTTTCTTTGCAGTACTGGAAACTAGATTCAGGGCCTTACACATGCCACGCAGGCATCCTATACTCAGCTACATACTCAGCTGGCTTGATACTTGGGATCTTCCTGCCTCGGCCTTCTGAGTACTGGGATTACAGGTACATGACACCATGCACAGAAATCATCAGTTTTTTAAAAAATGTACTGAAAAAACACGTAAAAAAAGAAAAAACATAAAAAAAATTTTCCTAACAAAATAATAGGAGAATAATAATAGTTAATACATTGCATGTTGTCATCTTCAAAGCAGTTACTAAGAGTGCAAGATATGAGCTTAAAAGGGCCGGGGACATGGCTCAGTGGCACAGCACCTGCCTACAAAGTGTGAAGTCTTGTGTTCACCTTCCAGCAGGAAAAACAAACAAAAATCTCCAATCAATATTAGCACAAACCTTCCTTAAAAATATGGAAGGTTTCACAAATTTGCACATCATCCTTGCGCAGGGGCCATGCTAAACTCCTCTGTATTGGTCCAATTTTAGTACATGTGCTGCCAAAGCAAGCACAATCAAGGATTTTTTTTTTATTTTTTTATTTTTTATTTTTTATTTTTTTGCAGAACCAGGGATTGAACTCAGATCCTTGTGTTTGCCAGTCAAGCGCTTACCCTACTGAACCATCTCCCCGGCCCAAGGATTTTTAAAGTAGCTTCCAAAAGGTGAAGGACTGGGAATTTTCCTGGAGGAAGTGAAAGCATCATATCGTAATGATATATGCGTACCTATGTTTATAGCAGCACAATTTGTGATAGCCAGATCTTGGAAACAACCAAGATGCCCGTCACATGTGGAACGGTTGAAAAAGATGTGGTACTTTTATATAATGGAGTACTACTGAGCTAAAAAGAATGATAAACTCGAAGCCTTCATATTTAAGTGGATGCCACTTGAAGATATACTTATGAGTGAAATAAACCAGACTCACATCTGTAAATATTGTATTGTCTCCCTAGTATAAGGACTTACAATTTCATATACGGTTAGGTTTTTTTTTTTAAATTTTATTTATTCATTTATGTGTGTGTGTGTGTGTGTGTGTGTGGCCAGCTCAGCCCACCAGGGGGCGGGCTGGCTGGCATGTGGTGCTGGGGGATTGAACCGCAGTCCCTATGCTTTGCTAAGCTTGTTGTAAGTAGGTGCTTTAGACCACTGAGCCATCTCACCAGCCCTATATGGTTAGGTTTCTAAATTTCTTTGTAAAAATATGTAAATGCTTATTTCTACTTTTATATAATTATTTTTCCTTCATATTCTGTAAGGACTTAAAAGTTCAACATATCAATATCTGATGGAAAATACCTGTTCCATGATATACCAAAATGTTTGATATTTAGACAGGGTAAATCGAACTGCATATATTGCAGGTTAATAATTAGCTTCTCTTCTGGAGGGTTAACAACCTAAGTTAGCAGTTCAAAATTGGAGAAAAGGAAGGGCTGCAAGGTCAGCCAACATTTTGGCCCTAGCCTTTCAAGGTCAGTGAAGACTTGGGACATAGGAGAACCTGTACTGTAACAACATGTAACTCAGTTGTGCTCCAAATTTTCTGATTAAGGAGATTATGGAGCCACAGAGGAATGTGTTCAATGATGTAAAGTGAGCCTGGGGAGAGTCACATGGAGAGAAAAAACATTTTCTCAAGCTTTCACAGAGAGCAAATTGGTCAAGCAATGGCCGTGACTCATCCTCATGGCTGACACTGACAAAAGGATGTACAAAGGGCGGTACAGGGCTACAGGATAAATCCTAAGAGTACTTGGCTGACCTTATCAGATACAAAAGTTACATTTCTTGTTATATAGGTCTTGTTATATCTTGGTCTTAACCATCTAGTAGAAAAGTATAAAAATGAGGTATATAAAGTAAATCCATATTAATACGACGATGAGCTGTAAAAGGCTCAAGTCAGTAACTTCTGAGGATAACCCACTAATATTACAGACTGCTAGACAGTGTTAGATTGGTTAGTTGAATTCAAACACCTATAGTATTCAGATGCCAATAGAATAATCACCTCTGACAGGACCAAAAAAAAAGGATACAAAGGAAAGATCATTTTGTATTTATAGATACAAAATAGTTCGGATAGGTCTACAGCTACTTTCACTTAATTCAGTGAGAAGAAGGAGGTGTACTAATGGTGTTTGGACAGAATATCCTGTCTGCTTCTTGCGCTATGGATAACCACTAAGAAGGTAACAAAGTACAATGTATTGATTATCAAAACTGTCCTATTAATCAGCTGTGAAACTGTCTCATTTGTATTTATTCCTCAATAAAAAAAATTAAATTTTTAAAAAATATGATATACGACAATTTCTAGGGTCCTCCATAGAAGGATAACACCATCAGTTGAAAAGACATACACTATTTGTCTTTTCCTGAAGTGTGTATGTTTTTAGTGTAAACTTATTTACATATATGTGACACATAAGGTATACCTATAACCATACACAATGGGATACAATATTGTTATTTTATTTTAT